CCAATTTAAATGAGTTAGAAAAAGCAAATCAGACTCAAACTCTTCCAGCGTTCCAGTTTCAGCCATAAAGTGTGTTTTAAAGGTGCAGTGTGTGATATTTAGGAGGATCTGTTGACAGAAATGCAATATCATATCCATAACTATGTGTTCAGTGGTGTATAAAGAGCTTACATAATGAAGCGTTATGTTTTTATTAGCTTAGAATGAGGCGTTTCTCTCTACACACACACATCCACATGTTTCTACGGTGGCCCTGAGCGGACAAACGCGTTTCGTCACTGTGTTGTTCTTCATGATAAGAAGCTGCTAAAGTCAGCGAGTAAAACACTGACACAATGATGAACAAGTTACAATAATATTCGCAATAACATCGTTTACTAAGTTACTAAGTAAACCTAATTTCTTAATGTATCTTTGTAAAGAAACCTCATTGTTTAACCGGCTACTCTCTGCAGTCTCAGAGGATGACATCACTTCCTGTCGGCCACCAACTTCAGTTGGGTGCAGTTCACAACCTCACCACTAGATGCCGCTAAAACTTACACACTGCACCTTTAACTCTGAAAAGCTCATGCGTTAGGTTCACACACTCGCTCACCAGTCTGAGGTCACCGTCTCCCAGTATGGAGCTGAAGTCGTTGAGATCCTTCATGAGGGTGTTCATCACCTCAGTGATGCGTTTCCTGTGCTGGGCGTTCACTTCCTGTAGCCGGGAAAACTCCGCCTCCAAACACATGAGATCCGACTGAGAGGAAGACAGAGAATTACATCCGGAATATAAACATTCACTGTGTGTGTGTGTGTGTGTACATGTTTTTCTATCACGGTGGGGACTTAAACCTGAATGCACACACACTCATGGGGACTCGTGTCACTGTGGGCCGGAAACAAGATGATAAATCATACTAAGTGATGTTTTTTGAAAATGTGTAGGGTTAGGGGTAGGGTTAGTGTGTGTGTGTGTGTGTGTGTGTGTGTGTGTGTGTGTGTGTGTGTGTGATGGGTAAGTTTAGGGGTCGGGTTAGTGTGTGTGTGTGTGTGTGTGTGTGTACGTGTGTGTGTGTGTGATGGGTAGGTTTAGGAGTAGGGTTAGTGTGTGTGATGGGTAAGTTTAGGAGTAGGGTTAGTGTGTGTGTGTGTGTGTGTGATGGGTAAGTTTAGGGGTCGGGTTAGTGTGTGTGTGTGTGTGTGTGTGTGTGTGTGTGTGTGTGTGTGTGTGTATGTGATGGGTAAGTGTTTAGGGTTAGAGTGTGTGTGTGTGTGTGTGTGTGTGTGTGTGATGGTTAGGTTTAGGGGTCGGGTTAGTGTGTGTGTGTGTGTGTGATGGGTAAGTTTAGGGGTTGGGTTAGTGTGTGTGTGTGTGTGTGATGGGTAAGTTTAGGGGTCGGGTTAGTGTGTGTGTGTGTGTGTGATGGGTAAGTTTAGGGGTCGGGTTAGTGTGTGTGTGTGTGTGTGATGGGTAAGTTTAGGGGTTGGGTTAGTGTGTGTGTGTGTGATGGGTAAGTTTAGGGGTCGGGTTAGTGTGTGTGTGTGTGTGTGATGGGTAAGTTTAGGGGTTGGGTTAGTGTGTGTGTGTGTGTGTGTGATGGGTAAGTTTAGGGGTTGGGTTAGTGTGTGTGTGTGTGTGTGTGTGTGTGTGTGATGGGTAAGTTTAGGGGTCGGGTTAGTGTGTGTGTGTGTGATGAGTAAGTTTAGGGGTTGGGTTAGTGTGTGTGTGTGTGATGGGTAAGTTTAGGGGTCGGGTTAGTGTGTGTGTGTGTGTGTGTGTGTGTGATGGGTAAGTTTAGGGGTTGGGTTAGTGTGTGTGTGTGTGTGTGTGTGTGTGTGTGATGGGTAAGTTTAGGGGTCGGGTTAGTGTGTGAAACAGGCCAGAAATAATGTAAAGTAATTTGATGATGTAATGAAAGACTACACGCCTGCGCACACATATATTCAAACGCGCATATCTAAACACGTGATGCATGTCCACGCCTCAGCGTTTTCACAGATTCACGTTTTTGGCGTTTACACAGAGATGATAATGTTTTTCAAACTTGTACCTTGTACTTTGTTTCAAAGTTTGTGTTCTCGAGCACCAACCGCTGTTGTGTGCAGATAAACGTCCAGAACACTGTTCTCAGTTAAACGGTGTCGTGTTAGCGGCCCCTGAGTTAATAACTAATGATCTTTAGCTGGACAATAACTTTATTCTGAACTGCTGTAAAGCCTAAACTATCTCTGCTACTGTAATCTCCTGTTATCAGCGATATCTAAATGAAGGTGACTTGACACTAATATAGTTATTGTTCTTACTGTGAACGGGCCTTAAGAGATTAGTTTTAAGAGATTGTGTTTGCCGTACGGTTTTGTGCGACAGCTCCTCGGTCAGTCGTCGGTTCTGAGCGCTCGTGTCTTCGTTCTCCTGACTCTTCATGTCGTAGTTCAGAGCGAGTTCCTCCAGCGCCTGCAGAACCTCCTTCACCTCGGCCTTCGCACTCTCACTCTCAGCCTGCAGTCGGGTCAACTCACACTGCACACGCTCACGGTCCCCGCGCGACGAGGCCAGCAGCTGCACACACACACACACACACACACACACACACACACACACACACACACACACGCAAACACACACACACACACACACACAGCAAGAACAGAGAGTTTTTTCTGCTGACCTATTTTACACAAGACTGAAATCATCCTCAATGCTGTTTTATCTTTATGATTTACAGCTTTATGCAGTGGGGATTTTGGGAATATCCCAGCTCGGCTAACAGGGAACGTTCTCAGAGCTTTGGATAACGTTCTGCCAAAATGCATAAAGGTAAATGTTCTGGCAAGGTTCTTCCAGTAACATTAATAGAACGCTCGTTCTGCTCTAGCAAAAAAAAAAAAATTGTTAGCAATGTTCTCTGATCGTTACTTTTGAATGTTCTCTGATCGTTACTTTAGAGTGTTCTCTGATCGTTACTTTTGAATGTTCACTGATCGTTACTTTTGAATGTTCACTGATCGTTACTTTAGAATCTTCTCTGATCGTTACTTTAGAATGTTCTCTGATCGTTACTTTAGAATGTTCACTGATCGTTACTTTAGAATGTTCTCTGATCGTTACTTTAGAATATTCTCTGATCGTTACTTTTGAATGTTCACTGATCGTTACTTTAGAATGTTCTCTGATCGTTACTTTTGAATGTTCACTGATCGTTACTTTAGAATCTTCTCTGATCGTTACTTTAGAATGTTCTCTGATCGTTACTTTAGAATGTTCTCTGATCGTTACTTTAGAATGTTCACTGATCGTTACTTTTGAATGTTCACTGATCGTTACTTTAGAATGTTCTCTGATCGTTACTTTTGAATGTTCACTGATCGTTACTTTAGAATCTTCTCTGATCGTTACTTTAGAATGTTCTCTGATCGTTACTTTAGAGTGTTCTCTGATCGTTACTTTAGAATCTTCTCTGATCGTTACTTTAGAATGTTCTCTGATCGTTACTTTTGAATGTTCACTGATCGTTACTTTAGAATCTTCTCTGATCGTTACTTTTGAATGTTCACTGATCGTTACTTTAGAATCTTCTCTGATCGTTACTTTAGAATGTTCTCTGATCGTTACTTTAGAATGTTCACTGATCGTTACTTTAGAATGTTCTCTGATCGTTACTTTAGAATATTCTCTGATTGTTACTTTAGAATGTTCACTGATCGTTACTTTTGAATGTTCACTGATCGTTACTTTAGAATGTTCTCTGATCGTTACTTTTGAATGTTCTCTGATCGTTACTTTAGAGTGTTCTCTGATCGTTACTTTAGAATGTTCTCTGATCGTTACTTTAGAGTGTTCTCTGATCGTTACTTTAGAATGTTCTCTGATCGTTACTTTAGAATGTTCTCTGATCGTTACTTTAGAATGTTCTCTGATCGTTACTTTAGAGTGTTCTCTGATCGTTACTTTAGAATGTTCTCTGATCGTTACTTTTGAATGTTCTCTGATCGTTACTTTAGAATGTTCACTGATCGTTACTTTAGAATGTTCTCTGATCGTTACTTTAGAGTGTTCTCTGATCGTTACTTTAGAATGTTCTCTGATCGTTACTTTAGAATGTTCTCTGATCGTTACTTTAGAATGTTCTCTGATCGTTACTTTTGAATGTTCTCTGATCGTTACTTTAGAATGTTCTCTGATCGTTACTTTAGAATGTTCTCTGATCGTTACTTTTGAATGTTCTCTGATCGTTACTTTAGAATGTTCTCTGATCGTTACTTTAGAATGTTCTCTGATCGTTACTTTAGAATGTTCACTGATCGTTACTTTTGAATGTTCACTGATCGTTACTTTAGAATGTTCTCTGATCGTTACTTTAGAATGTTCTCTGATCGTTACTTTAGAATGTTCTCTGATCGTTACTTTTGAATGTTCTCTGATCGTTACTTTAGAATGTTCACTGATCGTTACTTTTGAATGTTCACTGATCGTTACTTTAGAATGTTCTCTGATCGTTACTTTAGAATGTTCTCTGATCGTTACTTTAGAATGTTCTCTGATCGTTACTTTAGAATGTTCTCTGATCGTTACTTTAGAATGTTCTCTGATCGTTACTTTAGAATGTTCTCTGATCGTTACTTTAGAATGTTCTCTGATCGCTACTTTAGAATGTTCTCTGATCGTTACTTTAGAATGTTCTCTGATCGTTACTTTAGAATGTTCTCTGATCGTTACTTTAGAATGTTCTCTGATTGTTACTTTTGAATGTTCTCTGATTGTTACTTTTGAATGTTCTCTGATCGTTACTTTAGAATGTTCTCTGATTGTTACTTTTGAATGTTCTCTGATTGTTACTTTTGAATGTTCTCTGATCGTTACTTTTGAATGTTCTCTGATCGTTACTTTAGAATGTTCTCTGATCGTTACTTTAGAATGTTCTCTGATCGTTACTTTTGAATGTTCTCTGATCGTTACTTTAGAGTGTTCTCTGATCGTTACTTTAGAGTGTTCTCTGATCGTTACTTTAGAATGTTCTCTGATCGTTACTTTAGAATGTTCTCTGATCGTTACTTTAGAATGTTCTCTGATCGTTACTTTAGAATGTTCTCTGATTGTTACTTTTGAATGTTCTCTGATTGTTACTTTTGAATGTTCTCTGATCGTTACTTTAGAATGTTCTCTGATTGTTACTTTTGAATGTTCTCTGATTGTTACTTTTGAATGTTCTCTGATCGTTACTTTTGAATGTTCTCTGATCGTTACTTTAGAATGTTCTCTGATCGTTACTTTAGAATGTTCTCTGATCGTTACTTTAGAATGTTCTCTGATCGCTACTTTTGAATGTTCTCTGATCGTTACTTTAGAATGTTCTCTGATCGTTACTTTTGAATGTTCTCTGATCGTTACTTTTGAATGTTCTCTGATCGTTACTTTAGAATCTTCTCTGATCGTTACTTTAGAATGTTCTCTGATCGTTACTTTAGAATGTTCTCTGATCGCTACTTTAGAATGTTCTCTGATCGTTACTTTAGAATGTTCTCTGATCGTTACTTTAGAATGTTCTCTGATCGTTACTTTAGAATGTTCTCTGATCGTTACTTTTGAATGTTCTCTGATTGTTACTTTTGAATGTTCTCTGATTGTTACTTTTGAATGTTCTCTGATCGTTACTTTTGAATGTTCTCTGATCGTTACTTTAGAATGTTCTCTGATCGTTACTTTAGAATGTTCTCTGATCGTTACTTTAGAATGTTCTCTGATTGTTACTTTTGAATGTTCTCTGATTGTTACTTTTGAATGTTCTCTGATCGTTACTTTAGAATGTTCTCTGATCGTTACTTTAGAATGTTCTCTGATCGTTACTTTAGAATGTTCTCTGATCGTTACTTTTGAATGTTCTCTGATCGTTACTTTAGAGTGTTCTCTGATCGTTACTTTAGAGTGTTCTCTGATCGTTACTTTAGAATGTTCTCTGATCGTTACTTTAGAATGTTCTCTGATCGTTACTTTAGAATGTTCTCTGATCGTTACTTTAGAATGTTCTCTGATTGTTACTTTTGAATGTTCTCTGATTGTTACTTTTGAATGTTCTCTGATCGTTACTTTAGAATGTTCTCTGATTGTTACTTTTGAATGTTCTCTGATTGTTACTTTTGAATGTTCTCTGATCGTTACTTTTGAATGTTCTCTGATCGTTACTTTAGAATGTTCTCTGATCGTTACTTTAGAATGTTCTCTGATCGTTACTTTAGAATGTTCTCTGATCGCTACTTTTGAATGTTCTCTGATCGTTACTTTAGAATGTTCTCTGATCGTTACTTTTGAATGTTCTCTGATCGTTACTTTTGAATGTTCTCTGATCGTTACTTTAGAATCTTCTCTGATCGTTACTTTAGAATGTTCTCTGATCGTTACTTTAGAATGTTCTCTGATCGCTACTTTTGAATGTTCTCTGATCGTTACTTTTGAATGTTCTCTGATCGTTACTTTTGAATGTTCTCTGATCGTTACTTTAGAATCTTCTCTGATCGTTACTTTAGAATGTTCTCTGATCGTTACTTTAGAATGTTCTCTGATCGTTACTTTAGAATGTTCTCTGATCGTTACTTTTGAATGTTCACTGATCGTTACTTTAGAATGTTCTCTGATCGTTACTTTTGAATGTTCTCTGATCGTTACTTTAGAATGTTCTCTGATCGTTACTTTAGAATGTTCACTGATCGTTACTTTAGAATGTTCTCTGATCGTTACTTTTGAATGTTCTCTGATCGTTACTTTTGAATGTTCTCTGATCGTTACTTTTGAATGTTCTCTGATCGTTACTTTTGAATGTTCTCTGATCGTTACTTTTGAATGTTCTCTGATCGTTACTTTAGAATCTTCTCTGATCGTTACTTTAGAATGTTCTCTGATCGTTACTTTAGAATGTTCTCTGATCGTTACTTTAGAATGTTCTCTGATCGTTACTTTTGAATGTTCTCTGATCGTTACTTTTGAATGTTGAACCATTGAATGTTTGAACCATCTAAATAAAGTGTAACCACAATATGCAGTATATTATGTACAGAATGCAGTATAATATTCCAGTGCACGCAGTGGCTGAATACTGCTCTATTTTTGCCATATAACGATGTGACAGGAATAGCTATTTGGAATTCAGCAAATGTCTTTAACCTCTTCTTGATCCAGCATTTGCTCCTTCAGTTTTTCCACCAGCTGACACTGTAAATTAATCTCATCATCCTGTCAGAGAGAGAGAGAAAAAATCAATCAGAAAGCTAATTTTTCCATGCATTGACTACAGGCTATGTGAGTTTGTGTCTCTGTGAGTTTCAGTTTGTGTTTTTTGAGTTTGTGTGTCTGTGTGTTAGTGTTTTTGTTTGTGTGTCTGTGAGTGTATTTTTGTTTGTCTGAGTTTGTGTGTCTGTGAGTGTTTGTTGGTGAGTTTGTATGTTTTTGTGTTTGTGTGTTTGTGTCTGTGAGTGTGTATGTGTGTTCTGCTCACACCTTGTCGTCCAGTTGTTTGTAGAGTTTGCTTATCTCTTCCTCATATTTGAGCTTGTGTTCCTCTGGGATTAACACACACACACTGATGCTCTGGTTGTCTTCACTGACATCAGACTCCTCAGCCATGAGATCCAGCGCTGACACACACTCCCCTGACGCACAATCATTATTTACTCGTACTACAGTCAAATATAATACGTTTACAGAATTCTGTCATTTTACTACAGTTTTACTTTAGTAACCCTTACAGTACTTCAAATGTGGAAGTACATAGGTACTTTTTAGTACTTTTTGTGTAAGTGGTCTAAAAGCCACAGTATTTCTATGGCAGGTGTTACCATGGTACATAGTATAGTACTTTGAAATATACAGGTTTACATTTATTTATTTAGCAGATGCTTTTATCTAAAGAGAATGAATGTCAGGTATTTACATGATACTTCTAGAATGCTACTACCATACTACTATGGTTCCAAGGCTACCGTGGTAAATGTCCAAAATACAAAATATAATTGCTGTATCTTATTTAAAATAATTACAAAGTAAGCATAAAAAGCTTTGACAATACTATTGTGCAGTAGACTGAAAAAAATATTGTAAATATTGTAAATATTGATTTACTTTAAAACGATTTTTACTCAGAAATTGCTAGTAAATAATAACAAAGAAACAGCAAGTAACACATTAAATTAAACATGAAATTTTGAAGTAAAAAATGAAATAGCTATTTGCATGTAAACAATGCTTCAATAATCTTTGTTTTATCTATTAAAATTAATTAATTTAGTTTAATTCAATTAAAATAAATTATTATTTTTTACTTATTTATATTACAATTATTTTAAAATAAATCAATATGATCAAAATATTTAAATAAAAACAATTTAATATATATTTTTTAATATTTAAAACTGATTTTACCACATTAAATGTACAATTAATTAATTTTATTTTATTACAATATATCTATGATCAAAAACGTTTTAATTTATTTATTTAAAACTGATTTTACCATGGTGCATGTCTGCATTTATTTTTTTGCTACAAAATGTACTATAATAAACGGACAACTTTTTAAAGGGTAATATATATTTAGTCATGCCAGTATTGTAAATATATCAATATATTATAAAATAAATAAACTTTTTCAATATATTTTTTTACAATTATTTTTACTTATTTTAAAACTATGATTTTATCAAACCCCATGCATTACTATGATAAATATGTCTGATGAATCTACCACCATGTCACCAGTCCAAATCAATCACGGTCTCGTAGAGAAATCAGGGGTGTGTGTGTGTGTGTGTTCTCACCGTCACGCCCGCGGTTAAGCTCCGCCTCCAGCCTCTGGATGTTCTCCTTCAGGTTCTTGTTCTTCTCCTTCTCTTTCTCATATTTCCTCTTCCACTGTTCTGCTGTCAGCTCCAGGTTCACCGACGCCGTGTTCCTGATGGTCTTTGCGCTGAGAGAGATGGAGTGAGTGTCACTCTAAAAAATCTTGGGTTATTTTTTTCAACCCAATTTTTTGGGTTATTTTTTCAGTGTTTGGGTAGTTTTTGTGTAACCCAGATCCTGGGTCAGAAGTAACAACCAAATGTTTAGGTAGTTTTTGTGTTACCCAAATCCTGGGTCAGATATAACAACCCAGGGGTTGAGTTATTTATCGCAGGCTTTTTGCGACCTCTTGAGGAGAGAGCAGTGCAGCTCCGTCAAATTGGTATTTTTTGTATCTACAAATTCGTTATTGTTCTGTGTATATATAGTTTAATTTTATCCAAAGCAACATGCAGGGGTATCAACCCATCGTCGATTCGAGTCAAACCAAAAACATTAATTCATGTATGAAGTAAAAAAAAAAAAAAAAGCTACAACTATAGTAAAAATGAATCAACCCAATATGCTGGGTTAAATCAACCCATTATGCTGGGTTAAAGGCACACTGTGGAACTTTTCAACCTTTATAATATATTACCAAAACCCATTGAGATGGTACATCGACTTACAATAGGTTGAATGACACGTCTGCCGAAGCCTGAAGGTGTCTGTATCGCTTTTACTGGCACTATGTAACTTCGGGTTTCGGGTAGGAACCCGAGCACAAAAAGAACTACAAAATTCGACCGCTTTACGGCATACGTCACTTCCCCCACCACCCAAACTTCCTCAAATTCTAACGTGAGAGCTCAACTCGCGTTTGATTGCCGGCGTCTGTATGTTGTCGTCATGACTGAATCAACAGCTACTCGGAAGAAAGCAAAGATTTTGTCAGAGGAGACCAAAAAAAGAAAAAGGGAGAGTTTAAAATAAACATCGGCATAAAAGTGTATATATAATGTAATATTTACTGCGAATTCGTGTAACAAAACTGATATAAGTCACAACATACTGCCGTATACAAATGTAAATGTTTTTTTTTTCCTTTCAGCTCATATATGTTTGTATTTGTGTAAAAGGAAAAACAAACTGAAGACTACAAATAACGGAAATATGTAGTGAGTTATATCAGTTTTGTTACACGATTTCCCGACTACTCGATTTCATCTCCAACCCATTGCAAAGAGATCCTGAAGACGTTAATTGTTTGCTTCAGGTGTGTTTGATTAGGGTTGGAGATGAACTGTGCAGGACAGACGATCGGCAGGAGCAGGATTGGGCAACCCTTGTCAATGCGACTTACCTGATCAGACATTGTTTTCTGCTTATGCTACTTTTATTCAATTTGTTTTCTTTATAGGATTTATATTATTAATCTTATATTTATATTATTATTTTGGTCAGTAGTGAATCGATTAACTTTCTCCAACATACAAATCAAATGCCGTCTGCACACACATAAAGACACTGGAGGTTGACCGGTTGACTGTTTGTTGACTTTTGCGACAATGCTGTGGCGCTTGTGGCCTCTAGGGGCACTAGACGTGAAAATTACAGGTCGAGCGCACCCTAGTGGCCAAAAATTCCACAGTGTGCCTTTAAATAAAACAACCCAATTGCTGGGTAAAATGAACCCAACATGTGTTCTGTCCTATATTAACCCAGCCCTTGGGTTGAAAACAACCCAACATTGGGTTGTTTTTAGAGTGTGTGTTACCGTTGTCCGAACATCAGGGTGGATTTGGTCTCGGCGTCGTTGAAGGCTGAAGGTGAGCAGCAGATGAACATGGTGGTTCTGCAGTTTCCGCCCAGAGAATCCTGAAGGATCCGCGTCATCTTACTGTCCCGGTACGGCACATGAGTCTTCTGCACCGACAGAGAGAACTTACCGAGTTTAAATGGGTTAAAGGTGAGATATTATGCCCCTTTTCACAAGATGTAATATAAATCTGTGGTGTGTCTGTGAAATTTCAGCTCAAAATACCCCCCAGATCAGATGTCAAATGTCCCCTTTTTTGGGTGTGAGCAAAAATATGCCGTTTTGTGTGTGTGTGTCCCGTTCAGGAGAGGGCGGATACTTTACACAAGCTTCAGAGACTCCGGCAATAACAAAACACGTGAATAATCACTCATACAAAATCCCAGAAATAACCAGTAGCGAGTGCAGCCTTACGGAGAGACTCAGGGAGAGCTTCACTTTTACACGTTTATGAATGTTAGTGGAGACATTTCTGTCGTCGTTGTGTGGAGTTCATCTCATCATCATGTTTAACTCTTACACACATTGACACAGTTCCTGAGGTGTTTATAAGACAGCGGTGACATGTTCTGGTCAAAATACCACAAAGATGAAGCCTGAGCGAGAGATGGCATGCTTTGCTGGATCTTCTCCAGTGCGTTAGAACTGGTCTCTGTTGGCGCTCGCCGAACCCAATGTCGCTGGTGTGTGTAAACGTGCAGATTAAGGGCCTGGAATATTATAATAAGATCCTCTTCATACGGCAGAAGGAGCGAAATCTGATTGGCTTGTTTTTTGACATGCTCTCAGAGAAAGGCTCAGCAGAACAAAGTTACTGCGTTTCACTTTTCACGTTTTGGTTGGTAGAAGCACCCGATTATAGCACTTAAACACGGGAAAAGTCAGATTTTCATGATATGTCCCCTTTAAAGGGATAGTTCACCCAAAAATGAAAATTAGCCCATGATTTACTCACTCTCAAGTCATCCTAGGTGTATATGACTTTCTTCTTTCAGACGAATACAATCTTAGTTATATTAAAAAATGTCCTGGCTCTTCCAAGCTTTATAATGGCAGTGAATGGCTGTTTCTGTTTTGAAGTCCAAAAAAGTGCATCTATCCATCATAAAAGTGCATCTATCCATCATAAAAGTGCATCTATCCATTATAAAAGTGCATCTATCCATCATAAAAGTGCATCTATCCATTATAAAAGTGCATCTGTCCATCATAATAGTGCATCTGTCCATCATAAAAGTGCATCTATCCATCATAAAAGTGCATCTATCCATCATAAAAGTGCATCTATCCATTATAAAAGTGCATCTATCCATCATAAAAGTGCATCTATCCATCATAAAAGTGCATCTGTCCATCATAAAAGTGCATCTATCCATCATAAAAGTGCATCTTTCCATCATAAAAGTGCATCTATCCATGATAAAAGTGCATCTGTCCATCATAAAAGTGCATCTATCCATCTTAAAAGTGCATCTATCCATCATAAAAGTGCATCTTTCCATCATAAAAGTGTATCTATCCATGATAAAAGTGCATCTATCCATCATAAAAGTGCATCTATCCATGATAAAAGTGCATCTGTCCATCATAAAAGTGCATCTATCCATGATAAAAGTGCATCTTTCCATGATAAAAGTGCATCTATCCATCATAAAAGTGCATCTATCCATGATAAAAGTGCATCTATCCATCATAAAAGTGCATCTATCCATCATAAAAGTGCATCTATCCATGATAAAAGTGCATCTATCCATCATAAAAGTGCATCTATCCATCATAAAAGTGCATCTATCCATTATAAAAGTGCATCTATCCATCATAAAAGTGCATCTATCCATGATAAAAGTGCATCTGTCCATGATAAAAGGGCATCTTTCCATCATAAAAGTGCATCTATCCATCATAAAAGTGCATCTGTCCATCATAAAAGTGCATCTATCCATCATAAAAGTGCATCTGTCCATCATAAAAGTGCATCTATCCATGATAAAAGTGCATCTGTCCATCATAAAAGTGCATCTATCCATCATAAAAGTGCATCTGTCCATCATAAAAGTGCATCTATCCATCATAAAAGTGCATCTGTCCATCATAAAAGTGCATCTGTCCATCATAAAAGTGCATAAAAGTGCATCTGTCCATCATAAAAGTGCATCTGTCCATCATAAAAGTGCATCTATTCATTATAAAAGTGCATCTATCCATCATAAAAGTGCATCTATCCATCATAAAAGTGCATCTGTCCATCATAAAAGTGCATCTATCCATCATAAAAGTGCATCTATCCATCTTAAAAGTGCATCTATCCATCATAAAAGTGCATCTTTCCATCATAAAAGTGCATCTATCCATCATAAAAGTGCATCTATCCATGATAAAAGTGCATCTATCCATCATAAAAGTGCATCTATCCATCATAAAAGTGCATCTTTCCATGATAAAAGTGCATCTATCCATCATAAAAGTGCATCTATCCATGATAAAAGTGCATCTATCCATCATAAAAGTGCATCTATCCATCATAAAAGTGCATCTTTCCATCATAAAAGTGCATCTATCCATTATAAAAGTGCATCTATCCATCATAAAAGTGCATCTATCCATGATAAAAGTGCATCTATTCATTATAAAAGTGCATCTATCCATCATAAAAGTACATCTATCCATCATAAAAGTGCATCTGTCCATCATAAAAGTGCATCTGTCCATCATTAAAGTGCATCTATCCATCATAAAAGTGCATCTATCCATCTTAAAAGTGCATCTATCCATCATAAAAGTGCATCTTTCCATCATAAAAGTGCATCTATCCATCATAAAAGTGCATCTTTCCATGATAAAAGTGCATCTATCCATCATAAAAGTGCATCTGTCCATGATAAAAGTGCATCTATCCATCATAAAAGTGCATCTATCCATCATAAAAGTGCATCTTTCCATCATAAAAGTGCATCTATCCATCATAAAAGTGCATCTATCCATGATAAAAGTGCATCTGTCCATGATAAAAGTGCATCTGTCCATGATAAAAGTGCATCTTTCCATCATAAAAGTGCATCTATCCATCATAAAAGTGCATCTGTCCATGATAAAAGTGCATCTGTCCATCATAAAAGTGCATCTGTCCATCATAAAAGTGCATCTGTCCATCATAAAAGTGCATCTATCCATCATAAAAGTGCATCTGTCCATCATAAAAGTGCATCTATCCATCATAAAAGTGCATCTATCCATCATAAAAGTGCATCTATCCATCATAAAAGTGCATCTATCCAATATAAAATGCATCTTTTAAGGCTATCGATCTGTTAGTCTGAAGGCATTGGTGTAATATGCAGGTGTGTGACTCACGGTGCCTTCGGCCAGAGCTGAGATGACGTTTCCCAGCGCTGACAGAGACTTGTTGATGTTCTTGGCTTCATCCAGGACCGATCCCTCCGCTCCCGTCTTACTCACCTGGAAAAATAACACTAGACTTCAAATGTCTGGGGTCAGTATGATAACTGTTTTCAACACTGATAATAATCATAAATGTTTCTTGATCATCATATTAGAGTGATTTCTGAAGGATCATGTGACACTGAAGACTGGAGTAATGATGCTGAAAATTCAGCTTTGATCACAGGAATAAATTACACTTTACTGTATATTCACATAGAAATCATAATAGAATACAATTTTTACTGTATTTTTGATTTAAAAAAATGCAGCCTTGATGAGCAGAAGAGGCCTGTTTAAAAAAATGTATTATTCAAGAGAATTTGAATAAGGGAATAATACACTAAAAAATGACTTTTCAAAGATTATTGGAGTATGTTTTACAAAAAAAAAAATACTTTCAGTCGTTCTACATCAAAATGTCATGTTTAATTCAATGTGTTACTTGTCGTTTTCTTTGTGATTAATTGTGAAATTTACTAGGAATTTTCTAAGTGAAAACCAGATTTTTTCAGTGCATGTTAAACAAGTGCAAGTATAAACAGTGTATTGCACTTTTTTTAATTGAAAAACAGTGTTCTCAGATGTTTCTCCTAAACGTTCTCAGGACTCACTAGTTGTCCAGTAAAAGCTCAGATTATTTGATGAGAAATGATTGAGTTCACGTTGAGATCTCTTCTGAAACTCTAGCAGAGAGACACATGCGGGATTAACCCAATCTTTTTCTCCATGTAACCTCACTCTAGGAGGAACGTTTGAGACATTAATGAGATATATTTCACTCTCGTGAGGCTGAAGGACGTCAAAGTTTCCACCCAAAGCACCTTCTCGCTGCCGGCCAGATCCACCAGGTAGAGTTTCCCACAGAGTTTCTGCTCCGTCTCCACGTGCTCCTGTTTGATGCTGATGAGGAATATGCTGTGACTCCTGGAACTGTGTTCATTCATATCTGACACACAACATCACACCAGTCACGAACAACATGTCTTCATTGTTCACTCAGGGGCTGTTCACACCTGGACACTTCATGGGTTTTCTGTGATCGGATAGCTATCGATCGTGAAGAGATCAGGGGCCGTATTCACAAAGAATTTTATCTTACCACTAGGAGTACTCCTAAATCGCACTAAAATATTTTAGCTAGGTGTTTTCTCTTAAAAGTTATTCAGAGCGCCTTTCAGACCTACTCTTAGTAAGGAAAAATGACAACTCCTAAACTAGTGAGTCTTCGTTGCTATGGATGACGTCACTTCTCATGCACGAGCTTCCTCGCAGTGATCACGGTGATTGGTTGTTAGATGACAGGGCCATCATGCGGAGCATAACACAGACGCAACAAATCATGGAATTACCACATCTAAATATGTCTGTGTCCTACACAAAATAATAATAGTAATGTCATCGAAATGCATATATAATGACATGTTTGTGCAGGCTCCAGTGAAGTGTAATTCTAAAAAGGCAGAGAGAGAGAGAGAAAAGTCGTGAATTAAATTAAATTAAACCAACCTATACCCTAATGAAAACCGCCACTTGCCTAATAATGAAAAAACGACACTTGCATTAACACTTGCTTGGTTAATTGACATCATATTAGCCTAAATAGAAAAATAAACTTAAAGGAAGGAAATGTTGCTCCTATTGAAGTAATGTAATAGTTGAATGACGGTGGATTATGAACTCGCCAAAACGGAAAAGAACGCCCAACTGGCCGCAGGATCAGTTACTGCTGCTGGCCCAGCTGGTGCTGAAAAAAAAAAAAAACATAATAAAAGGGAAATTCGGCACTGGGATATCACGCAAAACTAAGCGTGAGAATGGGAGAGGATTTGTCTGCAGATCAATGCAGCGTTCCCGCTTGTGTCGCGGACCCCGGGCGACTGCGAGAGGTGGTGGTGTGCGCTACAATCCTTTGTGAATCGGTCTTAGTGAGTTAGGAGTCCTCTCGACTTCTTTTAAAGGGGTCATATAATGGTACATGCACTTTTGCAAGTTGATTGTACTGAAATGTGTGTTGGCAGTGCCTGTACACAACCATCATATAATGATAAAAATCCATCCAGTGTTTTTGTTTTAATCTCCTTATATGTTTTCCCCTGTCTCAAATCAAGCCGTTCGACCGTGTGACGTCACACGCTCGGAAGCCCCTCCCACGATTGTTGATTGACAGAAGGGTTTCAACACAGACCCGCCCTCGCTCGTGAGCCAGCTGTCAATCATAGTCTGCGCGGACCGGCGCGGTCATTGTTGATGTGCTGGAGCACTGTCTATGAGCAGAATGGCGTCTAAGCGATTGTGGTGTTCTGTTCTTGGGTGTAATAACGAACACATTCATTTTAATGTTACTGAATCCGAACCGCTGAAGACGCAGTGGCTGAGTTTGTTTTCGAAGGGAATATTCCCCACGAGCAACGTCAATGCTCTCATGTTTGCGCGAATCATTTCACACACCAGACTGCTTTATAAACGAGGGTCAGTATAAAGCTGGATTTGCTAAGAAGCTGCTCATGAAAAAAGGATCGGTACCAGATATTCGTGTTCCTGCTGAACCTCTAGAAGAACTGAAGTGAGTGTAACGTTTTATTAAACTTTATATTAATATTTATATTAATCTTTGCAAATCGCTAGCTGCACGCTTCACAATGAATGCGTCTAAGGTTTACACTCAGGGTACATTACGGCATGTTTTCTATGTATGACGTTCTCAATATAATTCATAATCCCACGTTTATACTGAAGAACGCGTTATGGTCATTGTGTTACAAACGGTGTACGCACAGAACAGAGAGGCGGAGTCAGCAAAGCTCATTATCATTTAAAGTCACATGCACTGAAACGGCGTGCTGAAAACAGAGCTGTTTTTGACCAGGTAAAATAAGTGTTTTCTTACAATACTAATGAGAATTTTTAATTAAAGTATATTACAAACTTTTAATTTAGACCCTAAAGAATCATATTACAAAAATGGCATTATATGGCCCCTTTAAGCTGTCCCAGACTTAGCTGCTACTTTTAGGGCTAAAATGCTTTGTGAATTACTCTTAGTGAAAAAAATTAGGAGTCCTAAAGTTAGGAGTGACACGCCCATTATTTTTAGGAGTTGCTCCTAAATTCGCCAGTTAGAAGTTACTTTTATCCTTAAAATTCTTTGTGAATACGGCCCCTGGTGTAAATGCCCTCCGAAACGCATTCAAGACGGATTTGAATCCGATCGCTCACACTACTTGGAGATCTGGGACGCTTTCCAGACGAAACTGGACAAGTGTAAATGCATCTGGTCGTTGAAACCACATATGTTAATTTTACTCCTCCCAAAAATGCTAAAAAATAAACATGTGAGAGCGTGTTATAGGCTATATATCATGTTATAGTCAGATATGACGACGCTACTGCGACACGCATCACCGCAGATGAGCATCTCTTCATCAAGCCAACGCGCAAACTATCGAAAAGTCGCAGACGCTTAACACACAATCATCATCATTACAAGTAAAGAAACGAGATGATATTACCAGTGCTGTTGCCGCTCTCTCTTATTCCAGTCTTTGATTTTGATTTTAACTAATGATCAATAAAATGCAGCTCGTTTCTGTTGCTTTCGCTGATGTGAACTCTGTTAAAACTGCATATAGCGCGGGAATTAAAGATTTTTTTTGCGAAAACACATTTATGTGACCAGGTGTAAATGAAATCGTTTTGAAAAATCAGGGGCCGTATTCACAAAGAATTTTATCTTACCATTAGGAGTACTTCTAAATCACACTAAAATATTTTAGCTAGGAGTTTTCTCTTAAAAGCTATTCACAACGCCTTTCAGGCCGACTCTTAGTAAGGAAAAATGACAACTCCTAAACTAAGAGTGAGTCATCGTTGCTATGGATGACGTCACTTCTCATGCACGAGCTTCCTCGCAGTGATCACGGGGATTGGTTGTTAGATGACAGGGCCATCATGCGGAACACAACACAGACGCAACAAATCATGGAATTACGACATCTAAATATGTCTGTGTCCTACACAAAATAATAATAGTAATGTCATCAAAATGCATATATAATGACATGTTTGTGCAGGCTCCAGTGAAGTGTAATTCTAAAAAGGCAGAGAGAGAGAGAAAAGTCGTGAATTCAATTAAATTAAATCAAGGTAGCTTAATACCCCAATGAAAACCGCCACTTGCCTAATAATGAAAAACGACACTTGCATTAACACTTGCTTGGTTAATTGACATCATATTAGCCTAAATAGAAAAATAAACTTAAAGCAAGGAAATGTTGCTCCTATTGAAGTAATGTAATAGTTGAATGACGGTGGATTATGAAGTCGCCAAAACGGAAAAGAAAGCCCAACTGGACGCAGGATCAGTTACTGCTGCTGGCCCAGCTGGTGCTGAAAAAAAAAAAAACATAATAAAAGTGAAATTCGGTGAAAAGTAATGTATGACATTGACAAGATCTTCACTTCAAAAAAACGAAAACAATATAATCTTTCAAAAGAAGAAGGAGAAGCTTTGAACTGGATTTCTAATAATGAAGAGCTAGTAATAAAAAGAGCGGACAAGGGAGGTGCTGTTGTTGTATGGGGCAGAGATCAGTATATTGAAGAAGCCTTGAGACAACTTCAAAACCGTGAGTACTACCAGTGCCTGAGATCCAATCCAATAGAAGTAATGACAAATGAACTGACTGATATTTTATCACATGCTAAAGATGAGGGATGGATTTCAAAAAATGAATGTGATTTTCTTTCCTGTAAAAATCCTAGGATTCCTACATTTTATATGCTCCCTAAAATACATAAAAATCTTGAAAATCCGCCAGGGAGACCTATAATTAGTGGAAATGAATCTATTACAGAGCCAGCTTCAAAATTTGTAGACAGTTTTATCAAACCATTGGTTGGAAAACTTCCTTCATTTATTCAGGATACTACCCATGTATTAAATACCATTAAAAAGACTAAAACTACTGAATCATCTATTTTGGTGACCATGGATGTTGAATCACTGTATACAAACATAGACCATAAAGATGGACTGGAAGCACTATTATACTATCTGGATATGAGATCATCTACCGAAAGGACACCTGCATGTTTTATTATACAACTAGCGGAATGGACATTGAAAAACAACATATTTTTGTTTCAAGATAAATTCTATAAACAAATTAAAGGTACAGCTATGGGTGCATGTTTTGCCCCTAATTATGCAAATTTGTTTTTGGGATTTTGGGAAAAGAATTTTGTATTTTCTGACTTAAACCCATATTTAAAATATGTGGAGTGGTGGGGCAGATATATAGATGACATTATATTGATATGGACAGGATCGGAGGTGGATTTAATAGCTTTTCACGCTTATCTTAATAATACCAATGTAAATCTGAAGCTGAGTCTTGACTATTCACATACTCAGATTAATTTCTTGGACTTAAAAATCTTCAAAGAAAGTAGTGGTGCGCTGCATACTACTATATTTAGAAAAGAAACTGACAGAAACACTATATTGAGAGCAGATAGTTTTCATCCTTTATGGATGACCGAGAATATTCCTGTTGGCCAGTTCCAGAGGCTGAAACGAATATGTGATAAGGAAGAAGATTTTAACATCAGAGCACAAGACATGACTCAAAGATTTAAGGAACGGGGTTACAAAAATAGCGTGATTAACAAAGCATACAATAAAGTGAGAAACATCAGTAGAGACGAACTATTACAACAAAAACGTAAATCACAGGATCCAGATAACTCTGTATATTTCGTGACACAGTATAGCACAGAGGCAAACAGAATTAAGAAAATTATAAAGAAGAATTGGGAAATAGTTATGAGTGACCCTTATCTCAGGGAAGTCATGCCCGAATCTCCTTCCATTGCATTTCGGAAAGCACCAACAATTAAAGACAAAATAGTGAGAAGTCATCTTTCTCCTAAGAAAGCCAATACCTG